ATTTTGGAAGCTCAAAATGATCGCATTTACTGGAAAAACCGTGAAAAACATGCAAATAAGTCTGAGATATTTTATGTTGCTCACTGGTGAGAGCTAGGTCATCAAAACCGGAGTGTTTATTTTGAGGCAAGTGGTCATAAAGTGCTGGCAGAAAGCTGGAAAATCGGGTAAGGCTTTGCAAGAGCGACTTGGGTTTTGCATATGCTGTATCAATTAGCTGGCTCGGAAATTCTCATTTATTTTGAACACTTTCTGTTGTTGGTCATCCTTCGTACAAGGGTTGAAATCATTGTATGAATACAATCATTATTGTACATCCAGCAACACTGCTTGAGATCCCTCCAAGGGTTCTGTGCAACCTCCCAGTGCTAACACCATTCACAAGATAAACCCCAAAGCATCCAGTCGAGCCATCACATTAAAACTGTTCTGCCCTGTTGGGGCTCCCTGAGCTGTTGGCAGTGGAAGAATTGCTCTAGGATTTTTCTGTGGGCAGAAACCAGGTGAAAACTAGCAGCTGGTGTCTTCCAAGGGGTGCCTGAAGCCTAAAAAAAGCAGAGAAGGATGGGTCTGAAGGAATATTCAATACCATTATTTGAAACTGCTCCTTCTACAGATACTCCAGCAGCTGCCAGTTTTCAGTCCCAGATGTTGCTACCTGAGCCCCAGCCAATGCCTTATTGTGAATATACTACACATGATAAACACCTTACCCTGCTGTTGCTGCCTGTTGAAAAGTGCCAATGTTAAAATGTACAGGGATAGTAAGAAGTCAGCTGTGTTCTTAAAGTTGCTTTCTTGGCTTACACTAAAGGGCTTTGGTATTGCTGAAAAAACAAAAAAAAAACACTTCTAGCTTGAAGTCAGCTAACAGTGCTAGTAGCTGAAATCTGGGACATTATGGTATGAAAATTATTCTGCTTAATTTGGGTTGTGTGGTGTTGCAGACAAGCATGGCTTCAGAGTTGGTGCTTGCTTGAATCAAAATCGGGGAGCAGCACATATTTTTGGTGATGCATGCTTTTATATTGATACAGTTGAAAACAGAGGAGGTAGTACCTGCCCCCCTTCCTAACTGACTTGTAGGTCATGGAAGAAAGTAAACACTATGGTGCAGGGAGAAGGTGCAAACAATTTGGTTAAAAATGTTGCAAGAGATATGGCTTTTCTTTCTTTTGTCCAGACAAAGGTGGATGAACAGGTTTGACTAGTAGCCTGTGTGAGGTTGGGGTTGAATTAAGAGGAGGGGGAAGAGTGCTCTTGCTTACATAATGAAAAGCTTTTGAATGGGTGTAAACTCAAATGCAGGAGTTACTGCATTGCTAGTGTTCTGCATTCTCAGCTTTTATTTAAAAAAAAAAAAAATATATATATATATTAACCCCCCCCCCCTTGAAAAATTCCCAGATATCTTTGAAATAATAAAAACTGGAATGGAATCAGGATTAAAAGGAAAAAAATCAGTTTAAATTGGGGAAAAATCTGCAGGGAGGGGCGAGGGGAGGGGCACTGCACAGCCTTGCTGCTACATGCCCTGGGAGGGCTGTGTGCCTGTGCCAGGCTCTTCCTGGGGTGGTGCATGCTCCTGGATCAGTGGCAGGAAGCACATGGTGCTGCTCCCTGGCTGCATTGGAACCCCTCCCCATTCAGCAGCAGCCTGCTGCCAGGCTGCCCTAGTGTTTGGGGGAAGTGGGGAGTGGCACGTGGCCGGATGTTGGTGGGGATGGGACCTGACCCTGGCACCTCCTACCCTGCCTGGGGTCAGAGCCAGGAGTCCTGCACCCCCAGGCAATGGTTCCAACCCTGTGGGGTCATGCAGAGCAGCTGGGTGCAGCACCAGCTGCAGGGAGTGGGGCCAGACTCTCCCACCTGCCCTCTCCCCACCCATGGGGTGCCCGGGGCAGGGCTGAAGCTGCCAGGGTGCAGCTTGGACCTGCCTGCCCTGAGAGTTATTCCCGTGGCCTGTCCCACCTCACCCAGGGTCTGAGCCGGGAGCCCCCCAGCCAGCAGCTTCAGCCACCCGCCCTTGCCCAGCCACCCCCGCCCCC